TAAGTCAGAATTGCAGATCGCAAAATTCCTCAATAATAGCAACGAACAACTTTTTTTTTTTACATTTTTTAACAACAACTTTTAACTTTTTTGCATTATAAGCTTCGAACTATCATGGGTAACCTAACACATAAAATTTTAGAAGTGAAGACCTGCAATTTATGTTTTCCTACAGAGTTCATAAACAATAATGTTAAGAACAAATTTCAACAGCGTAAACACACAATAACAAAACTAGATCTCATCGTCGATACAAAAATACACCAACAGGATTAAGGAGAAATCAACAGGAACTAAATAGACAACAGAAGTAACTAAGAAGACAACAAAAGTAACTAAGGAAATACCAAATGTAACTTAGAAGACAACAAAAGTAACTAACAAGACAACAAAAGTAACTAAGAAAACAACAAAAGTAACTAAGAAAACAACAAAAGTAACTAAGAAAACAACAAAAGTAACTAAGAAGACAACAAAGGTAACTAAGAAGACAACAAAGGTAACTAGGAAAACAACAAAAGTAACTAAGAAAACAACAAAAGTAACTAAGAAAACTACAAAAGTAACTAAGGAAACAAAAGCAACTAAGAAGACAACAAAAGTAACCAAGGAAACAACAAAGGAAACAAAGAAAACAACAACAGTAACCATGTATATTACACAGTTACCATGTATATAACACAGTAACAATGCATATTACACAGTTACAATGTATAATACATAGTAACCATGTATTTTATACTGTAACCATGTATATTACACCCTAATAATGTATATTATACACTAACAATGTATATTACACAGTAACAATGTATATTACACAGTAACCATGTATATTACACAGTAACCATGTATATTACACAGTAATCATGTATATTACACAGTAACAATGTATATTACATAGTAACCATGCATATTACACAGTAACCATGTTTATAACACAGTAACACTATATATTACACACTTACAATGTATATTACACAGTAACCATATATATTACACAGTAACAATGTATATAACACAGTAACCATATATATTACACAGTAACCATGTATATTACACAGTAACCATGTATATGACACAGTAATCATGTATATTACACAGTAACAATGTATATTACACAGTAACCATGTATATTACACAGTAACCATGTATATTACACAGTAACCATGTATATTACACAGTAACCATGTATATTACACAGTAACCATGTATATTACACAGTAACCATGTATATTACACAGTAACCATGTATATTACACAGTAACCATGTATATTACACAGTAACCATGTATATTACACAGTAACCATGTATATTACACAGTAACCATGTATATTACACAGTAACCATGTATATTACACAGTAACCATGTATATTACACAGTAACCATGTATATTACACAGTAACCATGTATATTACACAGTAACCATGTATATTACACAGTAACCATGTATATAACACAGTAACCATGTATATTACACAGTAACCATGTATATTACACAGTAACCATGTATATTACACAGTAACCATGTATATTACACAGTAACCATGTATATTACACAGTAACCATGTATATTACACAGTAACCATGTATATTACACAGTAACCATGTATATTACACAGTAACCATGTATATTACACAGTAACCATGTATATTACACAGTAACCATGTATATTACACAGTAACCATGTATATTACACAGTAACCATGTATATTACACAGTAACCATGTATATTACACAGTAACCATGTATATTACACAGTAACCATGTATATAACACAGTAACCATGTATATTACACAGTAACCATGTATATTACACAGTAACCATGTATATTACACAGTAACCATGTATATTACACAGTAACCATGTATATTACACAGTAACCATGTATATTACACAGTAACCATGTATATTACACAGTAACCATGTATATTACACAGTAACCATGTATATTACACAGTAACCATGTATATTACACAGTAACCATGTATATTACACAGTAACCATGTATATTACACAGTAACCATGTATATTACACAGTAACCATGTATATTACACAGTAACCATGTATATTACACAGTAACCATGTATATAACACAGTAACCATGTATATTACACAGTAACCATGTATATTACACAGTAACCATGTATATTACACAGTAACCATGTATATTACACAGTAACCATGTATATTACACAGTAACCATGTATATTACACAGTAACCATGTATATTACACAGTAACCATGTATATTACACAGTAACCATGTATATTACACAGTAACCATGTATATTACACAGTAACCATGTATATTACACAGTAACCATGTATATTACACAGTAACCATGTATATTACACAGTAACCATGTATATTACACAGTAACCATGTATATTACACAGTAACCATGTATATAACACAGTAACCATGTATATTACACAGTAACCATGTATATTACACAGTAACCATGTATATTACACAGTAACCATGTATATTACACAGTAACCATGTATATTACACAGTAACCATGTATATTACACAGTAACCATGTATATTACACAGTAACAATGTATATAACACAGTAACCATGTATATTACACAGTAACCATGTATATTACACAGTAACCATGTATATTACACAGTAACCATGTATATTACACAGTAACCATGTATATTACACAGTAACCATGTATATTACACAGTAACCATGTATATTACACAGTAACCATGTATATTACACAGTAACCATGTATATTACACAGTAACCATGTATATTACACAGTAACCATGTATATTACACAGTAACCATGTATATTACACAGTAACCATGTATATTACACAGTAACCATGTATATTACACAGTAACCATGTATATTACACAGTAACCATGTATATTACACAGTAACCATGTATATTACACAGTAACCATGTATATTACACAGTAACCATGTATATTACACAGTAACCATGTATATTACACAGTAACCATGTATATTACACAGTAACCATGTATATTACACAGTAACCATGTATATTACACAGTAACCATGTATATTACACAGTAACAATGTATATTACACAGTAACCATGTATATTACACAGTAACCATGTATATTACACAGTAACCATGTATATTACACAGTAACCATGTATATTACACAGTAACCATGTATATTACACAGTAACCATGTATATTACACAGTAACCATGTATATTACACAGTAACCATGTATATTACACAGTAACCATGTATATTACACAGTAACCATGTATATTACACAGTAACCATGTATATTACACAGTAACCATGTATATTACACAGTAACCATGTATATTACACAGTAACCATGTATATTACACAGTAACCATGTATATTACACAGTAACCATGTATATTACACAGTAACCATGTATATTACACAGTAACCATGTATATTACACAGTAACCATGTATATTACACAGTAACCATGTATATTACACAGTAACCATGTATATTACACAGTAACCATGTATATTACACAGTAACAATGTATATAACACAGTAACCATGTATATTACACAGTAACCATGTATATTACACAGTAACCATGTATATTACACAGTAACCATGTATATTACACAGTAACCATGTATATTACACAGTAACCATGTATATTACACAGTAACCATGTATATTACACAGTAACCATGTATATTACACAGTAACCATGTATATTACACAGTAACCATGTATATTACACAGTAACCATGTATATTACACAGTAACCATGTATATTACACAGTAACCATGTATATTACACAGTAACCATGTATATTACACAGTAACCATGTATATTACACAGTAACCATGTATATTACACAGTAACCATGTATATTACACAGTAACCATGTATATTACACAGTAACCATGTATATTACACAGTAACCATGTATATTACACAGTAACCATGTATATTACACAGTAACCATGTATATTACACAGTAACCATGTATATTACACAGTAACCATGTATATTACACAGTAACAATGTATATAACACAGTAACCATGTATATTACACAGTAACCATGTATATTACACAGTAACCATGTATATTACACAGTAACCATGTATATTACACAGTAACCATGTATATTACACAGTAACCATGTATATTACACAGTAACCATGTATATTACACAGTAACCATGTATATTACACAGTAACCATGTATATTACACAGTAACCATGTATATTACACAGTAACCATGTATATTACACAGTAACCATGTATATTACACAGTAACCATGTATATTACACAGTAACCATGTATATTACACAGTAACCATGTATATTACACAGTAACCATGTATATTACACAGTAACCATGTATATTACACAGTAACAATATATATTATACAGTAACCATGTATATAACACAGTAACCATGTATATTACACAGTAACCATGTATATTACACAGTAACCATGTTCATTACACAGTAACAATATATATTACACAGTAATCATGTACATTACACAGTAACAATATATATTACACAGTAACAATATATATTACACATTTACCATGTACATCACGTAGTACCCATTTACATTGCACAGTAACAATGTACATTACACAGTAACAATATTTATTATATGCATGAACATTTCTCGCAATCACATTGGTCGGATCCTATACACGTGACCAGTCCTCAAATACTCATGTAGACTGGTTAAGCCCCGTTCTCACAAAGCTTCCTTAACTTTGAGGATTCCTCATGTTTGAGGAATGAGTTGAGGAAGAAGTATTCCTTAGCTAAGATTTTCCTTAAGTTGGCTCTCACTATCGAACTTGAAATCCTCAGCTGAGGAAAAGATTTCTATTGGCATAAGCGGCCAGCGGTGAACTCTTTTTTGATTGGAAATCAATAAACAACAATATTGTAAACAAACACGTACTTTTTCCCGTTATTTGTCAAAGTCGTCTGCTTTAATAAATATGGAAGCGGCCAAAAAAAACCGGTGTCCGAATTGGACAGAGAAAGACAGAGTGCTGCTTATCTCTGAAATGCAGCCACATGAATCGGTTCTATTTAGGAAATACAAGGGCCCCCTTCGGGAGGCACAGGTGAAAGCCGATGCGTGGAAGGAGATTGTCTCCAAGTTTAATGCGTTAGTACTTCCCATTTGTTTATTGTTTTCCATCATCCATGTTTATTTCATTACACCGTTAGTCTAGAGTCTCGTTCGACTTTTCACTATTGCACCTTCGCTAGTAAACCAGTCAACCGACTTTAGGTCATGTTGTCTATCGTTGTTTTCATTTCTATTTTTAATCTCGTGACTGTCAAATTGACCAATCATTTCGTTCCATTCTGACACACCCATTGGAGATTGGGTATTTCACGGGCGCCCGTACTTTATAATTGTACCGACGGGCACATTTTGAAGCTGAATTTAAAGAATTAAAAACTTTTATTATTAAAATCAATGTTTTGTAGATATTTTTTGGCTTATATAACAAAAAACATTTTTCTGTTTCATGATTTTATGATAAAATTATGGACTTAAAAAATTGACGATCGTCCTTTTTTACGGCCGGTCTAGTCCGAAATATTCTGACGTTTTATCAACTTTTTTCATATCGGTCTGTCGTCAGATGGTCAAGTTTGTTATCGAAATTTTCATTAAATACAGCTCACTTTGTAACAGGTTTACCCTACATCAACTGTATAGACATCATTGATATCATTCAGTAAAAGTACAAACGTTCATGGATATAAATTGTTTCATTCATTGCACAGAAAATCACAAACAAACTGGTGATTTTAATCAGATTGCAAAATTGAAGAAGGAGAATTCAATATCCCATTATATTGAACCAATATAAAAAAAAAAATACGAGAAAGATAAAACAATAGATGTGTATATAATATGTGCGTGCACTGAATATTGGGCTGACTACTATTCTTGATGAAAAAATGAACAACTATAGAATAAATTGAAATAGTAGAAAGAAAGGAATGAAAGGTTAATACAACAAGACACAGAATCAACAGAATTAATATGATCATAAAAGAATCAGTAACAACCACTACCATGATTATTGACTGATCACAATATATTACTTAAAATTTCAGATATCAACATCAAGAATGTACAAATAAAAGAAATATTTATTCAATAGTTATGATTATACTTATATAGGGGTATGCATTATATGGACTAGCTGCAGGGGGGGGGGGGGGGGGGGCATCCTGAATATGTATACTGTAGATGGCACAGTGTATAAATAAATGAATTAAAAAAAAAAGNATTGTCTTTTGGATAATGCATGAATCCATATGTATATGGCCTGAGTATTTTCTTACTTTTATTATGCTAGAAAAAGTTCAAAAACCCTATGTCAAGCTGGTAGGAGGTTGAAATACCATGGTCTGCTGTCATTTAACTAAAATCATCAAAAAAGTTAACGGCTCTGACTGCCCAAATTGACAACATGGGTCACATTCTAGAATGCAAATATTATGAACTACTGGTTTTATATGGATTAAGACACAAAGAAGTAAGGCTTAAATGAAGTTCAAGTATTTAATTAATTGTGATCTTCAAAATTCAAATTAATAGAAATCTTAATTATAAATTAAAATATATATTAATACAAGTCATTTAAATCTGAAACAAATAAATATAATAATTATGAATATATCGAAACCTCGTTAGAATCGTCTTATCAAGGCCAAAAAAAATGTATGTTTCAGGTAACCCTACTCATACGCTAATTTCTAAGAAACCCAACAACTTTTTGATCAAATCAAGATTTTCTGCTGTTCTTGTTTTTAAAACTTTTGTCTGTAATTGGCGAGTTATATTGCATTTCAGCTGTTAATCAGTGTTCTAAAAACATAACTATACTCCATAAAGAAAGAACAATTAATTTATGCAATTTTACCCCTCTCTCCATTTAACTCATTCACCCCTGAAATTTCACAGTGAACTATTCTAACCTTTGATTTGGAAGAGTTCAAATGTGTCATAAGGGGTGAATGAGTTAAGAAAACAACTTAATTTATGCAGGCATGCTACCTGCAACACACATATTTTTTATCAGGCCTTAGTTAACCCCGAAAAATAGCCTAGATATATTGATATGTACAACATTCCTTTAAATATTGATATAATACATGTACATGTATTTACAAATATTGTTATTTACGAATTTACCAATTCAATTACATCAAATCACATACATGCATGTAACTTATATACATGAAACAAATTATATCCACAATAACTAACTATATATAGGAGAAAACAAACAATTATCAAATGTCTGAAATAGTATATCTCTAGTGCCATAAGTATTAAGAAAAAGTACTTTTTACAGCAAGTAAGATGATATAAAAGCTCAAATATTTTGATAGAAATCCTCAATATAAAAAAAAAGAATTACCAGTATAAAGTTATTTGTATTGTCCATATTGTGACAATGGTTTTATTGAAATTGTGAATATACTGTTAAAAATAAACTATCAGGATCATATAATTAATTCAATGACATAAGGTAGTATTTACATATAGAAAGTAATATGCATGTTCATAAAAAACCTGCACTCTCAATTTTATATTTTGTTACTTCAATTTAACCTTGAATAACATTAGTACTCTCATTTTTCAGACAAGCTGATATGCCAAGGTCATTAGATCAGCTGAAGAAGCAATATGACAACGTAAAGACACGAGGTATATTTAAACCACTTGCAATATGTATGCATTATTGTATTTTTGCTTAAAATTATAACCTTTATATATAAATATGATATAACCTACCGTTTTAAGATAGATTTAATGTATTAGATTAAAACAATGAATTACACATACATGAAAGTATTAGTTAACTTCATTATATAAATTTACCCATTGTCTTTTGGATAATGCATGAATCCATGTGTATTAATTAAGATTTATTTTATTAAAGCAAAACAAAAATATCATGAAATCAAGAAGCCTAAAACTGGGGGTGGCCCAAGACCAGCATCTCCATCAGCTTCTCAGAGGTTGTTATTAGAGCAGATGTCAGGAAGGCCAAATTTATGTGGCCTCCCTATGGCCTATGACACAGAAGGTTTGTCAAATATGAATATTTAAAGTTGGAGTAATTAAATTAATACAAAATAATTTTCTTTAACCAAGCCCTGAAAGGCCCTTTTGGGCATTTTGATCCATAAGTGCAATCAGTGTAAAACATCTTGACCATAAAAAAATATGTTTAATTATAAATGTAAGGTATTACAATATAATTGTAAATTTATCAATCATTTAAAACTTTAACCAAGTCAAATTTATGTGGTATCAATTTCTAGTTATTTCAAAATAATTGAAATGTGTATAATTTTTTTATTACAGACCCCTGTCTTTTAGAATTTGTGTCTCCAACAGACATGGATGGGATTGAAATAACTGAGGAAAATGTCAACATTTATGACATTTCTTTACCTCTACCATATGTACCTGTACCTGCACCTGCACCTGTACCTGTACCAGCACAGACATCCATTGAGGTGGAAGAATCACCACCAGTACCGCAAAGAATAACTAAAAAGAGGGGGAAAAAACCTGATCTCGAGGAAGATGTGCTGAGTACTGAAAAGCGTAGAGCTTTAGCAGAAATTCGAAAAATTGACCTGGAATGTGGCTTGATTCAGCTCCAAAAGGAGCATGAAGTTGAACTATTTGAGTTGAGGAAAAATATGTTATTAGCAAAAAACAAATATTATCAAAATAAGTTATAAATTTCACTTCATTATTTAAAGTTTTGTCTCATTTGCAAATGTGAACTAAGATTCCATGTCCAGGATACCATCTAGTGAATAAGTTTTTGGGGTGTTACATGTTTATATTGGTAAGTTTTTGTTTCTAAAAACTTAATTGAATAATCTAATAACATAAAACTACATACCGAGACAAACTTTCGAATCTTATACATTTGTATGCTAATAACAGTTAAACCAAAAGAAAATACACAAAACTTGTTACTGTTAACATTATTCAACATTAGTGAATCCGAAATACTTGGTGAATCTTATATAATTATCTACATTTCCACTGTTTTCCCCAAAAAATTGTTCAAAAAAATCTGAAGCTAATATGCACATCTACATCATATAATGTAATATCCTACAAAGTTTCATTAAAATTCCTTCATTAGTCTAAAAGGGGTTCTTGTGAACCTCTCCCTCAAATAGTTTGAACTTTAACATTATGGTATTAATATGAATGATCACCTGTTGAAATATTTGATAAAACAAAAAGAATTAGGATCAAGACTTAATCAGCTACAGAAGGAAATTGAATTGGATTGCATTTAGAATTATAGTTTGTTTGCTATTAACAGATGCAATGTGCACATATTCAAGATAAAAAGTAAAATTAATTCAAATATTGTATCTTTTAGTAATAAAATATTTAAGGAAAATATCTGATTCTAATTAACTCCCTTATTGCCTCCCCTGTATTTATACCCTGTCCCCTTAACTGTTCACCTTCCTCAACTCCAATATTATCTATGTCTGCATTGATTATATCCCCCCTCTCTATCCCAATTTTGTGTAAAACTACACATGCTAAGACAATTGTAGCAGCCTTCTGTGGCTGTCCCCTTAAACCAGTATGCAAACAGGAAAATTGATGCTTTAAAATGCCAAAGGTCTGTTCTATTGTTACACGTGTTCGGCATAATGCATTGTTGAATTTCTGCTTGCTCCTTGTGTCAGGTGTGTTGTATGGAGTCATCAGGTAATTTGAACAGGGATATGCCGAATCTCCTAGCAGAAATCCATAAAAGGTTCCTGTAATATATATAAGCAGAAGTTTTCCACAAAATAAAAACTGAATTAGAATAGCTTTGTGATATGGAATTCATGTGATTTAACATAAATATATATATATATTACAACTTAAAATGTATTTGATGAATTAATCTATGGACTGTCAATGAGAAACAATATACATTGAAACAATTAATAACAGTAACATAATCTTTTTTTGACATGTAGCATAAAGTTGTCATTTTCTCCACCTTTTGTCAAGAGAATAGCTCTGAAATTGTATTATATATTTTCATGATATTGTGTACAAATGATAAGCACTATGCGATGGTGTGTAATGCACAAGAACGACAACTCTTGGTCAACTATACACGTAGTTATCTCCCCTTTAACAGAAAACTTACTAAGTCTGTCACACATGCTTGTCTGTAGCATTACTCTTAAAATATTTAACACATGTTCATGACATTTACTACAAATGATAAGCACTATGTTGTACCTTAGCATTACTTATAAAATCTTGATGTATTGATCAAACATAATTATTATTCCCTCTAGCTGTGCATGTCCACTGGGAACATGATTTGCCTCAGGTGTACAAATCCTTATTTGAAAATTTTAACCAAACTTGGTAGGAGGCATTATTGGTGAGAGGGGATGCAGATTCAGGGATTTTCCTACTCTTATTCAACTGGGTCCAGGGTCAGACAGATAGGGACTTTTGCTTTAAAAGTCCCAAATTGGGAAAAATATGATTTGGAAAAGAATTAAAAATACTGTGTTACACTCCACTTGTTTCAATTTACAACTTTAGTTTTCTTTTCCCTTATTTTTTCTTTTTGACATCACCGTGATCGATATTGGGAGTTTTTTGGGTTGGCATTTGAATTTTATATTATTTTTGCATTAACAGGACCCAAAAACAGCCTAGGAAAATCCCTGAGATGTGTTTAACATAACAGAGGGATTTGATATGAATGCTTTGTGTTTATAGTGTTTGTCTTCAAATTATTTTATTGTTGATACCTTACCATTCTAAAAATTAGTACGCAAGTGGCTATCCCGAAACATTCTTGCGTCATGCACGCTTCCAGGCCATTTTGCCACACAATTTGTTATTTTGAAGTGGGCATCACATGTCATCTACAAAAGAGTTCAACTAATATTATATGAATTCTGTGTACTTCAGATTTAATTTGCAGAGCTTTTTGTCTCAACTTGTGATTTGCTGTCTTAACCTAGAAAGACAATTGTTGAAATTGTGCTAAAAGTTAAATTATGTTCTGTTATGAACTCAATAATTATGATGTTTATACACCAAGACTTTCTGTCAAAAAAAATATTTTCTTAAATTATAATACTGATCATTTTCAAAATTAGCTTTAAGTCACAAATAAACTCTAAGCCTGATTTTTGTTGGATCCTTTCAAAATAAATTATAATTATTTCCAATTGAAAATACTGTACCAATTCATAATTGACATATATAAAACAAAATAATCTTGTGTGCTCAGGTATAGTATACATGTGATCAGTTTTGTTTATTTTTGTCATAACCAATTTACCTGTATGTTTAAAGAGTGGAACCCTTTTCTATTCACAAAATCTTCTTCATTCTCACATGGTCCCTGCATTGGTATAAATGTACCATCAATGCACCCAACAACTTGAGGAAAACCTGCAAAGTAATAGTTTTACACATATCATACCTATAGGTAATTGAGTATTTTGCTATTTTATTTTGTACACTTGCATGTATAGTTTTGTTTGGGTTTAACATTTGAGTCTTTTTTTAATGACATTACCCTTGTGTCTGACATAGTTTCTCCTGTTAGGGTTTATTAACTTCAATACTTATAATAGAAAATTTGTTAACTTTTTAAGCTTTCCACTTAAATTTGAACAATCACAAAACCAATTTCTACCAAACTTGGTAATAGGAATCCTTACAAGGGCATACAACTAATTGTTCATATGGTTGAGTTTGACCTCAGTGGGCTCTGCTATTGGACTGAAAGAGGAAATTTAAACAAAATTTTAAAAATCTTCTAATTATAAACAAACAAATACCAAGTCTAAATTATATGCCTTTTCCCACCAGATGAACATTAAGGTCCAATGATTCTCTTGTTACTCTGAGTAAAAGGTATTCATACATTTACTAATACTACAATATAGTAACTTTTTCAGGGAACAGTTGATTTTAAATTTTGTAGTAGTTTCTCCTCTCATATCATGTCAACATTAAGTTAATTAATTTTAAGTAATGTGTGTTGATTTTACTTAAAAGGTTAGAGTTTATGTCAAAGTTATTCAAATATTTGCTTGTATTTATATAAATGGTAATACTATTGTAACACTGTAGAAAAAGTTAAAAATAATAAACATTATAATGGTAGGAAAGGAATGGCTGTAAAGGAAGGAGAAGGCTGTTTATTTTGGTACAAATGTACATATAAGTGTAATTGTGAAAACTCAGTAGTTGTAGAAAAAATGTTTAGTGTGTGTACAGCATATATTTATAAACACAATTTTCCACTTAAATGCATTTATTGAAAAATGATATAGCAGAACTTGATGCGACAAACATCAATAAAAAGAAATCATAAATCTTGCTCAATAAGTATTTTGTTTTAGTTTATTCGAACTTATTCATACTTGTAAGGTACCCAATGGTGGTATTTATTGATATATACAGTCAGTTGTTGAAATTGTGCGCAACACAAAAATTACGTCTTTTCCATTAAAAAAAGAAACTCCAAAACCTGTTTCCAAAGGCTAAACTAAGATATTTAAGGTGACAGTACCCAAATCGGATCACCAAACCATCATTTTATTAAATCATTGAAAAATCTTAATAGAAATTATATTCATTTATGGTTGTATTAAAAATAGAATATCGATGGGTGTTCTCACAAACGAAATTAGCACCCGGGGCTTACTTGAGATATTTATAGAACGCTCTGAAGTCACCGATCAGCGTCTCCTGTTTTTGCGAATGTCGGGACCCAAATCGGATCGCGGCTTAAATATTGAAGTATCGTACGCTTCAAATGAATATTTGTTGTCAGTATATTAACATTTTATGATGACCTTTAGAATTTATATGACAAAAAGTGTTTCTATAGTGTGAATTTATTCCTATAGTCCAAAACAGAGTGCATAGTCGTCGCACGCGCAATTTTTTAAAAACGTAATCAAAACATTTGAGTTTGAATTACGTTTTCTTGCGCTATTTGAACTTAAAAACTAATTATCTGTAGTCAAAAAATGGTGCATGGCTATCTATTCTAAGACAACATCATTGTTATACCTGATTTGTTGACACATTTATTTATTCATAAGTATTTTTGCAAAAAGTGATCCGATTTGGGTACCGATCCGATTTGGGTACTGCCACCTAATAAGTAAAAGCGTTGTATAACATGTGAATATGACACAATTAAATCCATAATGAACCATTAACAGCCCAGATTGTCCATTTGATTTGGTACTAAATGTTTTGGTTATTTGTTGTACGAAATTCAAGAAGAGTTATCTTTCTTTAGCAAATCTTCAATTGGTGATACGTACCACAAAGCTTCCTTAACTTTGAGGATATCGATTTCTAAATATAGCCTGTATGGAAATTCCCCGGAACGTGTCGTAGCGCATGCGCAGTAAGACTGGAACGCGATCTGTCAGACGACATTAGAAGATGGCTGCTGGCGAACGTTTCACCTTCGTTAATCAGAAAATTACCAAAACTATTCGAGTATAAAGATGCTGTTAACGTAAAAAGGCCATTGAACACGCAGTGCATGTCCTCGTTGCTTATCATAAGAAAAAGAATCTAAACGATACCTTCGAAAGCTACAATGATGAACTGTTGTATTCACACCTGGCTAAATTTTACACGGAGGCTCGCGTACAAAAATCAGAACCTTTAGTTTTGTTTTATTTTATTGTTGAAGCATATAATAAAACAGTAATGGCTTTTGTGTTGGTAAATATGATGTGATATGAACCTGAAAGAGTGATATTGACCTCGTCTTCGCCTCAGTTAATATCCCTCTTTCAGGTTCATATCACATCATATTCACCAGCACAAAAGTCCATAATTGTATAATATTACAAAATAGCCATGTACATTTCACAGTAACCATATATATTACACAATAGCCATGTCCCTAACACGGTAACCATGTATATGCTGGTCAGTCTTAACTTTATCATTTTTTTTTGTTTCTGGTATTTAAAAAAACCAAATATCGATTGTGTATACGAGCATTTATCTTTGACCTGACATCATTGATATATGTTTAAGTCTTTAAGAGTACATGTGTGTTAACTAATAACACATCTTTTCTGTAGAACGCCCTAGTTAGTACTGATACAAATATGTTACTTGCATCCTAACATTTTGCCGTTGTAACACGTAGTATTTGACAATAATGTGAGTGCGCATTCATGTATTATTTCTTAATAAACGATGTACATGCAACGCTCTTTCAAAAGTCTACTTCGTATCCCAAGTGTTAACAAGTGAGGAAAATTTGTCTGATGGCCTCAAACGTAACTGCTATATTTCTTGTGGTTTATGCTGTTGAGGCAAAGGTTCCCGAGCGCACAATAAAACTGGTACAAACTTGTAGTCGATTGGTCGAAATGTGTAAAAATTCAGAATAAATCTTTGTATCTGTGTATCTGTGAAATTTTAGTAATCAAAACATACGTCCGGAAATTAATGTGTGTGTTTTTATACATGTATCTAACAAATTTGCAACTGACAGGTTCTCGGGATCGAATCGCGTGGTCTGTACATAGGTAGCAGTATACAGTAGAAATGGCCCGACTCTGATAAACAAGGCACATGTCGAGGAAATGTAAACACAGCGGATTTACCCTACACAACACATGTATACATGTATATATATTTGTAAACAGCATTACATTTACAAAACATATAAAGTACTGAGAAGTGTATAAACCTCTTTTTTCTATGATGTCACTTGTGTGAAAACCATGGTTACCACATCATTTTTCCTAAGTTCTGTCTGAAATTAAAGATTACCTACCTGGTTGCAGAATTATCTGGGTCCCAGTAAAGTTGTAAAACTTGATTTTTTGCAATTTTGGCGTCGTGTGCTGTTGTCAAAATTTTACCTCCTGTAAAGCTAGCTTTTCATGTAACCCTTTCGGATTATGGCCAAAATTTCTCGAACCAAAGAAATCTTTCTTTTTTTTACAAATGTGAAGCTCACATAGCCCACTTCATCATGCTTATACCAATTTTAGTACAGTTTTATTTTTATATATTTTTTACATATCATTATACAGGGGTTAGCCATTTAACAAAAAATCACCCATGGCCACAACCCTCTACTGTATACTGCTACCATAGCTTTTTAATCTCACAAAATCAGGACCAACAGTAAAAACTTGCTCAAGTCAGATATTTGGTAATACTTGGGGCCGATCAAAAGGTTCTGGAAAATCCAAGCAGTATTTCGAATCCCTTTCGAGAGCCCTCTTGATGTATTGTTTTATCTAGGTACATAGTAACACATCTAATTAAGCCTTAACGATAGGTAATTATATAAAAAGAACCGGTCTTAGTGGTTTCCTAGTTAAATCATGACTATTTTATAATATTGAACAACATCTCTTTTGGAAGACAGTATTTTCCATGCGGTACATGCACAAGGTCGACGGGAAGTGTCGGATGATATACAATAGTTTGTTCTAAGCTTTGAATGGTATCGATATCAGCACGGGAAATGGCTTTTACTTAACACTGAACTATTAATTAAATCTCTACCTGATAAATAAATAAACTAAAAATAGAACATACACAAGGAGCGGTCGCCTTGATAACACAGAGTACATATACATGTGTTCATGTTTCAAGCATTTGGTGTATGCTTGGCAAGGGGATACCCAAACCTGAGTTGTATATAGTTGTGTTATCGTCTAGAGTTACAAATGTATGAGGGTCCCGGATTCGAACCCCGGTCTGGCCGTGCATTTTCCCTCTCCTGTTATACATGTTATTCATGCATACACACACGCAAGCACGCATACACTTCACACAAGATTAAACCAAACCATACCAAAAAAAAGCATACAGCGGTGCCGCCATTTAGGATCTCACAGCTAGCATCTCAAGATGTGGTCCTTGGGTGACACAAACATCAATAGTAAACGTATTCTTACTAGCTTAACTGGTGCATGTAGGGAAGCATGCGGAGTATATAATACACAGGTATTAAAATAACATGATACAGAAATACATAATTCACAGATAGAAAGAGAAAGAGAAACATACACAAGTGAGTATATATACAAATGTTGTTCATGGTTTAACGTTCATGCAAAGCAAGATATATATATTTACATTTCCACACCAAGTTCCTCTATAAGCATTGTCAGAAGAAATTGCGTTCATAGGGTCATGCATCTAATTTGATCAGCATCATTTTAAAGCTTCTCCTTCCACCTCGAATAACGTTGGACAACTTTTAGAAGCAAACGTTTTGGTGACGTTAGGCTGTTACATCAATGTCGTTTTCACTGACGACACAGACACTTCAATATCGAATCAAAGCAATTATAAAATTTGGAATGTAAATATTAGAATTGAATGGGTTTTTTTCAATGTTCATACCGGTATGAATGCAAATCAGTTACATATAAAAGCAGGTATGCAGAATATACACTATACAGGTATGGACAGAATACGATTTACAGGTATCGTGAATATACAATAAACAGGTATAGAGATTACGCATGTACAATGCATACGTTTTGGGTATATAAAATAGAGATATGGAGATAATACAATAAACAGATATGAAAAGTATAAACATGTAATATACAGGTATGGGAGATACGCAATACACAATACATATTTATATTATAAACATAAAACTGCAAATTCATAGATTTATTGATGGAGACTTACGTCCTTGTTCCGGATATGACTAAGTCTACGGCATTATACATCTCCGAGATACTGAAGCAGCTAATCAATACAGTGTTATTGGTACATTGTATACACTGAGTAGGATATTATAATTTTCCACTAATTGATGTTTATCACGGACATATTTTGTTGTGAGATTATAAAGTACAAGAGAGCATAAGACGGCCGTTACTAGGAGGATAACTTCTGTTTCCTGTCATTAATTTATTCAGACAGAACGTTTTAACACCCTCTAATCTCTTATTTATAAAATATGTATCGTTCTTTGCTACGTCTAAGCAATATTTCATTTCATTAGGTCGTTATATGGATAAACACATAACACACGACCATAGATACGTACACGTACAGACACATGCATATCAGCCAAAGCTATCAGGAAAAAAAATATCTCTAGAAAAGCCAGTCGACCATCCAAGTGCTTCACTGAGCAATGAAAGTAAACGTAAGATTATTAAAAAGGCTTAAATTCATCAACACATACCCCTACAATGTATACAAATTTCGGTGTCGATTTAGTGTTGCAAGAAAGTATGCTTAACTTTTATATATTCTGCAGAGTCGTCATGGGATTGTTAATTATCATTGGATGAATGTCATTTTATGATTCGAAA